TAACAAACTAAATTAAATAATATAAGTTAAATTAAATAACATAAATGAAACTTAGAAGTTAGAAGTTAGAACCTCTAGCAGCTTCTGTAAAATCATAATAGGACCAATAGGAATAGATCCTTCTCCATAAAGTGTTTGTTCCAATTCTTCATAATTAAGGCCAGCATCCTCCTCTTCGTCATCAACCACCCAAAAGTCAGTCTTGTCGATGCTCTCATAATCAATAGGATCGAAACTAGTTTTCTTGTAACTCATCCTGGAAGACCATTTTTAACTATTAAAATTTAAAGCATGACAAATAAAAAGATCAAGGAAAATAAGAATAATGAGAAAATGAGTACAGCGTAATCAACAATGTTTTATACCTGTTTTTCAACCACAAGTTATAATGAACAAAGACAAGATCATTTAATCGTTGATGCTCCAATCTATTCCTCGTTTTTTAATGTATGTGCTCAAAAACACTCCAATTTCACTCACACCCGAAAGAGATTGAAGTCTGGCTGAGAATTTTGATTGCAAACTTTTGTAAATTTGGAGTATTATACCCATATGTTCTCCACCATTCATCTAAATGAAAATTAGACACAAGAAAAAACTTTAATTTACAATGTGGAAATCAAACTTAAAACTCACAAATTAAATAACTATTACATAATACATACCCGGTCGTGTGGTTTTGCATGTTTGAATTGCAAGTTCCCAAGAAAAGCTCCCCTCGCGGTCTCGAAATATTCTACTCTCCTCCACCAACGCAGTCTTGTTTAATTTAAACGCACTTGCCTTACTCTCAACAACATCAAGAAAACCACATTGAACCTCCGGTTTGGAGCTAAATCCACTATCATACTGGAAAGCTGGATTTACAAAGTAAGTTGTAGCATGAATATCACGGCGTAACATCCTATCCCATCGCACTTAATAATGTTTGTATAAGGCTTGTACAATCTCTTCTTATTCTTAAACAACTTCTTGATCCCCAACCTCGTTCTGTACATACCATCATACACATATCTGATGGAAGGTCTCTCATCCGAGTCTATAATTCATAGCATACGTATCAACGGATCCACAACTTTGGAAACTATACACATTGCATCCCATAATTCGTTGTTTAGAATTATGGGAATAATTTCCTTGCCTTTATGACTTTCTGCATACCTAGAATCCACGAAGAATCTATCCGTCACCATGGCTTACAAGTCATGTTTGTGATCCTGTAGACTTCTTAAGGCAATACAAGTTGTAGCAAAACGAGTTGCTCCTAGGCGTACAATTTCGGTCCAACCTTGTTCAAGTGATAGAAGACAAATATACATGTTAGTAAAATTGTTTTCCAGAAATAATTAATATGTTATGACTTATAACTTCACAATAAAATAAGCTAAAGATACATTACTTGTCTTTTCCTCAACCATGCTATCAAAAATGTATGATTATACACAAACTTTGTCACCTCAGATGCACGTTTCGCAAGAGTGGCTATGTGATTCATCTCAGCCATATCCTTTAACATCAAGTTTATGCAATGTGCTGCACAAGATGAGCAAGTTATACTCTTATATTTCTCAGCCAACATTCTTCCTGCAACGTTATAATTTGCTCCATTGTCAGTGACAAGATGGACAATATTATTTGGTCCAACCCATACAACCACTTCCTCAAGTAAGGTGAACAATGTCCCGACATCCTTCACAACATATGAAGCATCCATTGACTTCACAAAGGAAGCTCCTTTATGGCAGTACACAAGAAAATTAATCAATGACCTTTGGCAAGTATCAGCCAACCATCTGCCATTAACGTACGTCCAACGTCTTCCCATGTTTTCCTATAACTATCCATAAGTAGCTGCACTTCCTTTTTAGCATCTCTTGTAAATTAACTCGCATAGCATAATCAGTTGGGTGTTTATACCCAGGACCTATTGTAGCTATAGCATCCACCAATGACTGAAGATAAATTGAATTTATTGCATTGATAGAGATGCAAGCATCGTAAAAAAACCTTGCAAAGGCCATATCAACTCTCAACATAACATCTTTCTTAACCAAAACACTCTTAATTGAGGGTTGAGACCCAAGAGTAGTCCTTGGAGCAAAGTAGTTACTAATCCCAACTGGTTTATTTCTATTAGTATTAGGGATTGTACGTGGTTTTTTTCTAGCAGAACCACCTTCATTCACAACCCTTTCTGATGGATGCAGCTCTTGACAATCTTCACCCAACATGTCACCCTCAAATCCATGAACACTAGCACCATAAGGATGTGTACGCTTACAAGTCTCTATTTTTGGGGTATTCTTTACCCCAATATCATTTAGTGCCTCTTTTATCCGAAATTGAACATAAAAAAGAACCCTAGAACACATTCCAACTTCCCCCTTTACTCTTGCTAGATGGAGTTTCATACGATAAATACCTCCCCCTTTAATCACCTTTGAACGATATATACATGTTAATGTCTTCCTTCCATTTTCATCAATGCCCTCAACAACATGTCCCCATACTATAACACTCCTTCCTCGATAAGATTGTGAGGAAGTACCCATGGGCGAAGACTGTTGCCCAGACCCAGATGATGACATTCTCGATTTTCGTCTATTCCTTGGCAACCAACAACAACAAAGATAAATGTTAGCACTTAACTTATACTCTTTAAGCAATGAATTAAAAAATTGCAAATAAATTTGGGACATTGCATATATGAGAAATAGCACACTACAGTGTGCAAAATTGCAGTATGTGAATTTGCACATTGCAGAGTGCAAATACACACTGCAGAGTGCAAGTACACACTGAATCACAAACTGTAGTGTGCAAAAACAAAGTGTCAAAATGCACACTATAGTCTATTTTTGCACACTACACACAACCAATCAAACTAGCCATTTTTACACACTTCAATTTTCAAACACAACCAATCTTACACCAAACAATCACCTCTTCAATATCAAGTTTCAAGCCCACTTCTTTAATATCAAACAATCTCTATGACTCTATCTCAAACAATCTCACAGCAAAACAAAAATCAAAGTTACAAAGAACAATAACAATAAGAAGTTAACAACAATGAAATACACATACCTTGTGGGAGCTGCCGAAGATCGAAGATAAAAGAAGAAGAAGTTATCAAAACCGAATATGAAAAATTAGAGATTTAGAAGTTGTCCAAGGCCCGAAGATTGAAGATCAGTTGAAGATTTTTATGATTGAAATCGGAATCAAAGAAGCCTAAGATCGTAGAAGCTGATTTCGTTTTTGGTAATGGGTTTTTTATTTTTCTTCTCTCTGGTGTTGGGTTTTGTCGAATAAAATTGGGGAAGGGAGAAGAGAAAAGTTGAAAGTGAAAAGGGTTACTTTTTGAATTTTTTTTTTTTAATATTTTACTATAACTGACTCGGTTTATACCGGTTGGATCGGCGGTTCGTTGCAAAAAAACCGGTTCAACCACGAGTGAACACGGGTCAATTGTTATTTCCAATTTTTTATATGAACCGACCTGACCTAATCACCGGTTCCTGGTCGAACTTGTTCAACTGGCCGGACCAGGCTGGGTTTTAAAACCATGATAATAAAAGCAATGTCATACTTATCACAAGTTATGATACTTAGAACTTTGTATACTAATTATTATTACAATGCATTCACCATACTAACATTGTGTATTAATAAAATTAATTTTATAATCACGAAGTTGACGTGTCAACCACAGTGAAAAACAAAAACAAAGGCTTCGTTTGGTTGGATATTGGGAATACTACTTTTAGTATTTCCAAAAAAGTTAAACAGTAAAATACCCAAAAACTCATAATATTATTCAACTTTATTCAACATTTTTTAAACCCCCTAAATTTGTTAATTCAATTAAATACCCCTAAATATTTTTAATGTTTTTGTTACGGCGACTCCGACCACCCTCCGGTGGTGGTGGCCGGCTGTCCGTATTTGAGGGTGGATTGGGGGTATTTTTGTTAACTTTTAATGTTTTATTATAAGGGGTGTTTTGTAAAAAAATAAACATAGTGGGTATTTTACAATTTGTAAATCCTACATCGTAATACCCGCCCAATTTAACTTTTTTTTAACTTTTTTCAAAAATTTTTTTCCAAAAACACAAAATTGTGAACCAAACGGAGCCAAAGCTCTTAAACAGCCTATACATGGTGATACTATTACGATAAATTTAATTTCCAGGGGAATTCAGTATGGGCAGCAAAGAAGTAAACTCTTGTAAATTGAATCATTCTCTGGAAAAATAGGTTACGTTGCTGTGTTTCCAATTTTCTCGTTTTTCACGCAAACTCGAGTCTTGAGGGTTGACTTGACGCCAATATTTCATCGGCTTTTGAATGGTTCCAGGCCTTACATATGTTTTCCGTTTTTTCTCTTATTTTTCAGTTCCTTTATCGTGATCCTTCACGTGCTCCAGATTTGACTCACGCTCACGCCTCACCTCATCTTCAACCCAAAAGAAATTTTGCGTCTCACCGGTTCGTAATCGTACACCAATGTCAACTCAATTCATATAATTTAATTAATTAATATTTACATTTTAAATTAGTAAATAAAATAAAATAAAATATTTGACTTGAAAAAGCACTTAATTTTCATCTCCTACTTTCCTCTTTTCGTCCTGCCAATCTTTGCTCTTATCATGTGACTAGGACCTCCTTTTTCCTTTTTTGGGTATTTTCATTATTGCAATTAAATTATTTTATTAATCCAATATTTCGCTATATTGAAGGTTTTCGTATAGATTTGGTAAGTTTTGAAGCATACGCGCTTACGTTTGTGTATTTTTGAACGAAAATTTGACTATTTAAAAAAAAAAAAAATTGTATAATATTCGAAAGAAAAAACGAGAGAGTCCTGAATGGAATAAAATATTCAAAAAATTAATTAAGAAATTAGATATGTACTTATCACGAAACCAATATATTATCATGACACATGCGGTTCGAGTAAAAAGAGAAGGGAGGCTTTTTTGTGCACAGAAAAAAAAAAGCTAACAAACAAACCAGAAACACACAAAAACCCAAAATAAAAATTAATCACCAAAGAAAAAATAATATAATTTTTGAGACAACACAAACAAAGCAAGGGAGGCACAGCTCAACGGCCAAAGCTTTAAGAAGAAGATTGAACTACAATTTTAATTTCTCAATTATTAACCAGTTATACTCTCTACAACGGAACACTATTTTACCGGCTGGAATTTACAGGTGTTGGTTAACTCCATTTCTCGCCCTTATAATTTCATTTCTCTCAACAGTTTCTTCGTGTAGGAGTAGAATTATTGTATGTTGTTCTCGATAATTTGACAACTTCAATTTTCCGAAATCAGGTTATGGAAATTTTGTTGTATATTTTGTGGAGAAGAGATCTGATTGCGATTGTTTTTATTTGAAACTGACGGTTTCAGAATGATAATTTTCATATTTTTTTTTTTTTGGTCGAATTATGGTTTTTAATTGATGAGGGATTTGATTTGTTCAGTGTAGGTTGGTGGAATAACTTTTTACCAGCTGCATGCATTGGTTATTTATATTTCATTTTTTATTTTGCAGTGAACATTTTGTGAAGTGAGAGTAACTGCTATAAGTTGCTAAAGAATTTGTTGCGGCTAAGCAGGTACTTTCACTACGAATCAGAAAATTGCATTTGATAATTGAATGGATAGTGTAATTTTTTTTTTATTACATATTGTGGGGAAGCTGTATAAATATGACAGAAAGCTTGGAATGTTTTTGAATTTAGGTCATGAATTGGAATTAGATAGAACTGAGATATATATACATATATTAAATGGATTGGTATCTCAAATATTGGTTGGTTATGCATCTAAAATTCTTTTATGTTAGCAAACATAGCGTGAAAATAATTCCAACACCGATATTTATTCTATGTTCTAAAATTATGCGGTTTTTCAATCAAGTTATCACGGCTGTGGCTTCATTGCCATTAGACTTTATGTTACTTATAAAATGGATGCATGAATTTACGAATTCTTAATTTTCTTATGGAGTTTTTATAGTTTTTTTGTTGATTTGTTTAAGCTGTTTTCGGCTTTGATTCTCATCTGGAACTTGTATACTGATTTGTGGATAGCTTGTGAGAGTGGCCAATGATTGTGTCATAATGAGAAGGCTCGGGTGGGACCATTGCCGATGGGCACCCCCGACAACAAACTATCTGAGTTTCTAGACGTGGTGAGATCTTGGATACCTCGTAGAGGTGAGCCTGCAAATGTGTCAAGGGACTTTTGGATGCCCGATCAAAGCTGTAGGGTATGCTATGAGTGTGACACCCAATTCACTGTTTTCAACCGTAGGCATCATTGTCGTCTTTGTGGACTAGTCTTCTGTGCCAAGTGCACTGCAAACTCTGTTCCTGTTTCATTTGATGAGTCAAGGACTAGTTGTGAAGATTCAGAGCGGATTAGGGTTTGTAATTATTGCTTCAAGCAATGGGAGCAGGGGATAGGAGCAGTTGATGATGGGACCACCCATGCGCCCAGTGCTGGTCTCAGTCCATCACCATCTGCTACAAGCTTGGCCAGCACCAAGTCCAGCTGTACTTGTAACAGTAGTAGCTGTACTGTTGGTTCAACTCCTTACTCAACTGGACCTTATCAACACGTGCCATACACATCTTGTATTAGCCCTCGAAAGTCTGCACAGATGGATCCTTCTAATGCTGAGCAAGAGAATCTAGCATCTGTGACGAGCAAAAGCCCTGATACGGCTATATTGGTTGATTCCACTCCTAATCAGTTGGGCTTTTGCATGAACAGGTAATCTGAGTAACTCACAAAGCAATGTCACCCATAAACTTTTTAAGCTTAAAGTTTCTTGTGTCTTCTGTATGAATGCTCTTGTTTATTGCATGTGTAAGTGTGAGGAGAAATTTTCTTTTTTTGGGGTGGGTTGGAGACATGACGGTGTCAGAATTAGACATTGCTCCTTTACTTAATGTTTGTTTTGCTTTTACTTTACCAATGCCGTCTTGACTGTCACTTAATCTGTCATTTGTTGCTTCTTATCATTTGTGCAGGAGTGATGATGAGGATGATGACTATCGTGTTTATCATTCAGATTCAGAGATGAGGCATTATTCTCAAGGCAATGACTATTATGGTGTTGTCAATATAGATGAAATTGATCGCACTTATGGGCCACATAAAGTGCTACCTGAAGGAGAGAACATCACTAGAAAAAGTTTAAGTTGTTCACAATTATCTGAGAGTTTTGATACACAGGGGGCGGAAAAAATTAAGGATCTGCAAGAAGAAACACAGGAAGGTGAAATTGGTGATTGTGAAGCTCCTTTATATGATGGGGAGGGTACCAATAGTGCACCTGTGGATTTTGAGAATGATGCGCTGCTCTGGATCCCTCCAGAGCCAGAGGATGAAGAGGATGAGAGAGAAACTGTTCTATTTGATGATGATGATGATGAGGGTGCAACAGGGGAGTGGGGATATTTACGCTCTGCAAACAGCTTTGGTAGTGGGGAGTACCGTAGTAGAGATAAGTCAGGTGAAGAGCATAGGAAGGCCATGAAGAACGTGGTAGAAGGGCATTTTAGAGCTTTGGTATCTCAGCTTTTGCAGGTTGAAAACCTACCTGTGGGTGATGAAGATGACAGAGAGAGTTGGTTGGAAACAATTACATCTTTGTCATGGGAAGCTGCAACACTTCTTAAGCCAGACACTAGCAAGGGTGGAGGGATGGATCCTGGAGGATATGTGAAGGTTAAATGTATAGCTTCTGGGTGTCGTAGTGACAGGTAATATTAATAGATATATCGAGAACTTGTCTATGAATCTACCTACAAATGCAGCTGTGCACTCATTTGGGTTTTGCTATTTTGATAGACCGGTTTTACAATGGTTCATATTTTGATAGTTTTTACCTACTAATAATCCTGTGTTGCTAATAAAATTTTCTGATAGCTAATAATGGATTGTACAGATAGATTTTAGAAGATATGGCTGTGTTTATAGGCAATGATCATATTTTAATGTTGTATTCCTAGATTTGTTTTCCTGTTGCTGGGACTTTTTTGGTGGGGTAGATAGTTCTCGTTTTCAATAGATGTTTTGGATTAGTTTTGTTCTTGCAACATGAATTAGATTTTTAGATTTTTTTGGTCTGACTTGATTATCCAATTGCATTTTACTGGCAATCTTTTCCTTCACATCGTTGGTCAGCTATGATGTGAAGTTCCGCATGCTACATAATACTTGAATATTAATTGCTGCAACAGTGAACTCTTATGTATGATATGAAACTCTGAAGCAGCTGGTTGGAGAATGCAAAGAAGAATCGGTTCTTTTGTCTCTAAGAAAATTTAAGATAGATCAGAATGGTGAACAAAAAATGTGTTGCCAATGTCACTTGTTGCATGTAATCTTTGGAAGGTTGTTTTAATTTTTTTTTTTTTTTTTTTTAACTGTCCACCAATATTAAAAATTATGCTGATGCTGATATTTTTCTCCAGTATGGTGATTAAAGGAGTTGTTTGTAAGAAAAATGTTGCTCATCGGCGAATGACATCAAAAATAGATAAACCACATTTTCTAATCCTTGGAGGAGCTTTGGAGTATCAGCGTGTTGCTAACCACTTGTCAAGTGTGGACACTTTGTTGCAACAGGTTTATATTGTTTACTATTTCTTCTTTTTAGGTTTGTAAAAGTATTACGTTGAGTCTGTTGATTTCTAATAAGGAATCAAACCACAGGTAACATTCCTTTAATCACACACTATTTGCCACACCCAGAAGCAATAAGTCATAATATTTGTTTTTATGGGCCCCTTTCTCTTTTCCAGGAAATGGACCATTTGAAGATGGCTGTTGCAAAGATTGCTGCTCATCACCCCAATGTTCTTTTGGTAGAGAAGTCGGTATCCCGGTATGCACAGGAGTACCTTCTTGCAAAAGACATATCACTTGTTCTGAATATTAAGAGGCCGCTTTTAGAGCGAATAGCTCGCTGCACTGGTGCACAAATTGTCCCATCAATTGATCATCTCACATCACAGAAACTGGGGTATTGTGACATGTTTCATGTGGACAAATTTCTTGAAGAACATGGCAGTGCTGGACAAGGTGGGAAGAAATTGATGAAGACACTAATGTTCTTTGAGGGTTGTCCAAGGCCTTTGGGCTGTACTGTAAGTCCTGCAGCATTTACGTACAATTTACACAAGCACTATGGTTTTGAATTCATTCTGCTATGTTTGTGGAAACTTGCTAGTGTGTTGGTGTCCTATAGGACTGACTTGATGCATATTTGAATTACATGCATGGAATTTAGGCTACCATTGTTTGTAACACCAAAAATAATTTGTGTCGATTTACATGTATAATGTAGCAGAGACTAGGGAGTTGTATGCAATCAGGTTAATTGGTGAAGTAACTTTTTGGATATGCGATATGGGTTCTTCAGTGTCTGCAGGTGCTTCAAGTTTATGGAAGTATTTCTGTAGATCACCTTAGTCATCCCTTTGAATTATTTATGGGGCTGTAATTTGCAGGATAAAAAGTTGTGAAAAGAATTAAGATGGTCTTATTGCTTAACTTTGTTCAGATTTTGCTGAGGGGTGCCAGTGGTGATGACTTGAAGAAGGTAAAACATGTGGTGCAGTATGGCGTTTTTGCAGCTTATCACCTGGCTCTGGAGACATCATTTCTGGCTGATGAAGGTGCTTCACTTCCAGAACTCCCTTTGAAGTCTCCGATAACTGTTGCATTACCTGAAAAACCATCAAACATTGATAGGTCCATTTCCACAGTACCTGGCTTTATGATCCCTGCCACTGGAAAGCCTTCATCTCCTCAACCTATAAGTGAACTACAGAAATCCAACAAAGGCCTTATCTCAGATGGAGTCTCAACCATCAATGTAGATTCTTTGTCCAAATTGAAAGGGGTCAATTCAACTTCCTTATCTGAACCTTCTGCAAGCTCTATTGAAGCTGCTGCTTCCTCTGCTTCCTTATCTCCTACTGGGCAGAATATCCCGTATTCTTACCATATTGATCCCTCACCCGAACATGCCTTTGAGGAGGAAAATAAAGTGGCTCCTAAAGAATTTTTTAAGGCTAAAATAGTGGACGCTGGAGGAACTGCACTGGATGATCATGCAGTTTCTAGTGGTTTTGGCACCTCGGACATATCAAGACAAGATGATGGTTGCAATCTTGTGAGTGCTAATTCTTGGGCTGCTCCAGAGTTGTTGTCCAAGCAAGATAATGTTAATAACTGTGAGGAGATGGGATCTTCAAAGGAAGAGTTTCCTCCCTCAACTTCAGACCATCAGAGCATTTTAGTGTCCTTATCAACACGCTGTGTATGGAAGGGAACTGTGTGTGAACGGGCCCATCTTTTACGAATCAAATACTATAATAGCTTTGATAAGCCTTTGGGGAGATTTTTACGAGATCATTTGTTTGATCAGGTTCTCCTTTCTTTTCTTTTCTTTTTTGTTTTAGAGTCATAATTATTGTTATAATCTTTTCCCAAAAGACGTTTATTCCCTTGGCAATTTCATGGCCGTCAATTGAGTTAGATCTTTGTCTCTTTTGTCAGAGCTATCGCTGTCGTTCATGTGACCAGCCATCAGATGCTCATGTTCATTGTTACACTCATCGACAAGGCAGTCTTACGATATCTGTTAAGAAACTCCCAGAGTTTCTCTTACCAGGGGAACGGGAAGGAAAAATTTGGATGTGGCACAGGTGTCTGCGATGTCCTCGGACCAATGGGTTCCCTCCGGCTACTAGGAGAGTTGTAATGTCTGATGCTGCCTGGGGTTTATCTTTTGGGAAATTTTTGGAGCTTAGCTTTTCTAATCATGCTGCTGCAAGCAGAGTTGCAAGTTGTGGTCATTCGCTTCACAGGGATTGTCTCCGGTTCTATGGGTATGCTTTCTCTTGAAGAATTTTTACATTGCACACTTGAAGTATCAAGTTTCTTTTAATATATTGTTTAATATGCACAAACTACTTGTAAACATGCCCACATGGAGGATTGGTCCATCATCTGTGCATTTTGTATGTTCGATATGTCACTGGTTTTAAAAATATAATAAAAGAGAAAAAGGGACCTTTGATTGTCCTGCATAAAGTGATATCTTTATATACATTTGACAAGGGTATGAAATGTCAATGAGTATTTTTTATTTATGGGGAAAATGCATTTAACATGCTGGTTGCATGACTGCATAGTTTTGCTTATATGATCTTCTTCTAGACTCCACCTGGAAAATTTTAGGTTGAAGTGACAAGAAGTTAATTTTTTTTTTTTTTGGTTGCCTAGGAAACAAAGATACTATTTAGAACAAAAAAGCATACAAGAATAGACAAGTTGTCCACAAAAATAGGACAAGCTGTCCCAAGAACCCAAAGACAACAAAAACCATACAAGATGAAAAAACTTCCTGTCTAGGCAGTTTAAGCTTCCCTTTATGTTGAATAAAGATGAAAGAAACTTCCTGGAACTCTGAAGTAAAGTTGCCAACAAGTTTTTGCTTATGTCCTGACATTTTACTACTTGATGTTAATGACCCTTATATATGCCAGATAATGATGTATGAAGATGAATATGATGTGTTGTTTGACATAATAAAGAATGATAAATTTTGAAAGGACTGCATTGGTTGAAGCACCAAAGGGCTTATGAACCCGAAGAGACAACTTTATTCTTAATTGTTGTCTAAAGTAGTTGCTGTCACATGTGCAGTTTTGGGAGAATGGTTGCTTGCTTCCGCTATGCCTCAATTGATGTTCATTCTGTTTATCTTCCACTATCAAAGCTTGATTTCAACTCTGATAATCAAGATTGGATGCAAAAAGAAGCAAATGAGGTAGAATGATTACAAATACTCTTTTTAGTTCTAACCAGCAGTTCTCAATTTGGCAATGCTTATGAGATTAATTATCTTGCCTAATAGGTATGTAGCAGGGCAGAATTCCTATTTAATGAAGTGTACAATGCTCTACATCAGATTTCAGTGAAAATAGGGGCAGGGTCAGAGGATGGAGGCACGAAAATAACTGAATCAAGACTTCGTATCTCAGAATTGGAAGGGATTCTGCAAAGGGATAAATCAGAACTTGAGGTACTGGATTGGATGCTGCTTAAAATAAGACATCAGATTGCGGCTTAAGATCATCTGTCATTAAGCAACGTTCTGATGTCAAATTTTTAATTTTACATGCAAGTATGCCATAGTTAGCTTAGTGTTAAGGAGGCAAAGCCTATTTCTTATTGCTGCAAAAAGTCTTTTCATGAGATGAAGTTTTATTCCTTGTATTACCTATTTCTGATAACTGTATGTAATTGTTTAGGAATCTTTGCGGAAAGCAGTATGTAAGGATGTAAAACTTGGCCAACCTGCAATTGATATTCTTGAGATCAACAAATTAAGAAGGCAGATACTTTTCCATTCATATGTTTGGGACCAGCGCCTGATACATGCAGCCAGTTTAGTTAGCAACAGTTGTATCCCAAAACTCAAGGAGAAGCCAGTCAGTGTCAAAGAGAAGTTTGCTGAAGTGAATTTGACTTCCAAGCTGGGTAAAGGATTTAGTAGTTGTGACTCTGTTTTTCTGGACAGAAAGCCTGATCTACATTGTACTCAAGGAGGAGTCTCTGGTGACATTAGTGAGCCAGATGGAGTTCACAAACAAATTGGTGTAGATCAAGACCTAAACCTGAAGAATGAGGGGGAGCATTGTCAAAGTGTTAGTGATAAATTTGAAAGACAGGAATCTGGTAAAATTGTCCGAAGAGCTTTATCAGAGGGGGAGTTTCCTGTAATGGCCAATTTATCTGACACCCTTGATGCAGCATGGACTGGTGAAAATCACCAAGCAAACATCAATGCTAAAGAGAATGACTGTTCTCTTCCTGATCCTGCCTTGTTTGATTCCTCAACCATGGTAAATTCAGTTTCAGCAAGTAGTACGGAACAGGGTGGGGCTGAAGTCTTACGTACTCTTAGCTCTGTATTATCTACCAAGGGAACTGACAATGTGGATTACTCCAAAAGTTGGGCTGGGATGCCTTTTCTGAATTTCTATAGTTCATTTAACAAAAACACTTCATTAAATGCTCAAAAGCTTGCTGTTGCGGAGTACAATCCTACGTATGTCCTGTCGTTTAGGGAGTTGGAACGGCAAAGTGGTGCCAGGTTGCTTCTACCTGTTGGTGTTAATGACACTGTTGTGCCCGTTTATGATGATGAACCTACTAGTATTATAGCATATGCGCTTATCTCGTCAGATTATCATGTCCAGATTTCTGAGTCTGAGAGACTGAAAGATGCTGCTGATTCTGCAGTTTCTGATTCAGTGAATCTGTCCTCGGTTTACTCCTTTGATGACACCTCTTTTGATAGTTTTAAAAGTCTTGGGTCAACTGATGAGAGCATCTTATCAATGTCCGGGTCCAGGGGCTCCCAAGTTTTGGATCCACTGTCATACACAAAGGACTTGCATGCCAGAATTTCTTTTGCAGATGATGGCCCTCTTGGGAAAGTAAAGTACACAGTTACCTGTTACTATGCTAAGCGTTTTGATGCCCTGAGGAGAAAATGTTGCCCTTCTGAGTTAGATTTCATACGATCTCTAAGTCGTTGTAAGAAGTGGGAGGCCCAAGGTGGAAAAAGCAATGCCTTCTTTGCAAAAACCTTAGATGATCGGTTTATTGTCAAACAAGTTACAAAGACAGAGCTGGAGTCGTTCATCAAGTTTGGGCCAGCTTATTTTAAGTATTTGTCACATTCTATTGGTACAGGAAGCCCAACTTGCCTGGCAAAGATCCTAGGTATTTACCAGGTATTATTCTTTCTTTTTGCCACCATATCATTTAAGAGCAATGCTAGTTTTACAAAGACACATACAAAGGGGGTATACAAAGACAATCTACACCCTTGATTTTCATGATTTCTCTCTCTCTCTCTCTCTCTTTCTCTTTTTCCGTTTTTTCTTTGTTTTTTTCTTCTAGATGATGTTAGTTTGTAGCCTTCTTTATATGGGTTTTTGTAAGGATAACATTTTTCATCATTTAATTACCTATGAAAAATAATTCAAGGCAAATCTCCATGGTGTAAGACTCGGTATTTGAGTTTGTTCTATATTGATAACCATCTTCTTTAATTCATGTTTTGGGAATGTACTCTAGCCAGATGGTTGCACACCTTGGAGCTTCCAAGTATTCTCCATGAGCCTTATATGCAAGCTACATGTATTGTTAACCATGTCTAATACATGTTAATATATCTACAGGTTATAGGTATAAAATTAACGATTCTCTGATGCTGAGAAGTTGAATGTATAAGTGCTACTAACTGAAAAGATTAATTTTGTTTTCAACTGCATTCCATAAGCTTTCACACCATTTGTTTCAGATGTCAATTTAAGCCAGTTGTATGCAACTCTTATATTAATTTATTATCTTTTGTTGGTTTTTTGTTTAAGGTTTTATCAAAGCACCTTAAAGGAGGGAAAGAAACAAAGATGGATGTTTTAGTCATGGAGAATCTTCTTTTTAGGCGCACCATTACACGACTTTATGACCTCAAGGGTTCTTCTCGATCACGGTATAACCCAGATACCAGTGGGAGTAATAAAGTTCTGCTAGATCAGAATTTGATCGAAACTATGCCAACTTCTCCAATTTTTGTGGGAAACAGGGCAAAGCGATTGCTGGAAAGAGCCGTCTGGAATGATACTGCATTTCTTGCTGTATGTTGGAATTGATTGCTCGTCTCTTGATACTACATAAACTGTTTGTTTTCTGTGCTGGTATATTGGATGAGAATATGAGATACAGGATTTTATTTTTATTGTTGTTTCCTTTTAAATCTTACTTTTTAAGTGTTTGAACTAGAAATTAAAGCTGGTACGGCTGTTGCTAGAGTCGGTAATAATGATACTGGGCAGGCGAGTTTAGTATCGTATGTGAAACAGTATTTATATCTGTTGTCATCTATCCATATGTCCATATTTTGGTTTTGGGCGGTAGAGAAATGTTGGAGAAATTGTGTGCCTTGATTTTCATCTTCCCAGTGATCATCTTAAGGCTTTGAGGCTACCCACGTTGGATTTAGTCTCTCTCTAACGCATTGTATAACTGTTTAAAATTAATTGCAATACTGCTACTGTTGCTCTTCTATTTCACTTGCTTTATATTTTCATGATATGTTTATACATGTGGTTGCAGTCAATTGATGTTATGGACTACTCGTTACTGGTTGGTGTGGACGAGGAAAAGCACGAACTGGTGCTTGGGATCATTGATTTTATGAGGCAATATACATGGGACAAGCACCTGGAAACTTGGGTGAAGACTACAGGAATCCTTGGCGGACCCAAGAACACAACTCCGACTGTCATCTCCCCCCAGCAATACAAGAAACGGTTCAGGAAAGCTATGAGCACATATTTTCTGATGGTGCCAGATCAATGGTCGCCCCCTATGATCATTCGCAGTGAATCCCAATCAGATCTCTGTGAAGAAAACACACAGGGCGTTACCTCCTTTGATTCATAACGCAAAAACTACACCCTATGTTCCTTTTGCCTGTATATGTCAAGATGTAAGTTAAATAGGAAACTTCCCTATTTTATTTCTTCTTTCTTTTCATTGTATTTTTTTTTTTTTTTTGACAGATGGTTGCTTAGTTTTAGTTTTTAATATGGTCAATCGTTTAATATTTTTTTTGTTATCAGCAGGAAAAAAGGCTCTTTAAAGCCAACATTTTTTTGACCAGGGACAATAGTGGTGGATGCTCTCTGGAGTAACTGTACAATAATTTCTTGTATTAGTTAGCGCACCTACACACTTATGCACACAGTTATTATAGTTTAATTTTTTTTAAATAGTTTAGTTCATAAAGTCACTGTAGTGTAAATGTGTAATATCTGTTCAGTTCAAAAGTCTTTCACATTTGTCATCTTTTAATTCATTAGGAAATAGGTACATAGTTTTGAACAGTAGATTTATGTTATCAGTTAGGCGTTGCGGCTTCTTTTCAAAACTACACCGCAGATGGAGATGACGGGAAATATCCGGATTGATAGGCACCTTTAAGACCTATCCATCACATTGATATTTTTATGTGATTTGTCAAAATAAGTGTATTGAATCAAGGAATTTGACTAATAGCTCAGGAACAAACAAACATATAAACTTTACAACCTTGAAATGTCATTTTGTAACATATTACAACAATGTTCCTTAAGTTTTTTCTTATAATTTTAATTTTTAAGTATCTTGTTACATTTTCAACAAGGGCAATACTATATCTACAGTTAAATCTTATAAATTTTATTTTACAAATCCGACGTAGCTTGCAATGAGTTCTACCTACCTAGCAATGGATTCTATCTGTTCAATTGTGAGCTATTACATTGGGGTTATGAGAAAAAGTTTGTAAAATTAGGTTGTAAGATAATCTTTATTTTTTCAATAATATTTTGTGTGTGCAGTATTTATGCTTTGTCACTATTACTCGAGAATCTCTACGAATATATGGTGTATTGACCAAGAAATTCTTTTATGACTCATATAGCCGTAAAATGGTAGGTTCCTTACAAGAACCAAATATATATCAACTTTTTAAAGTGATGATGAGATTCAAACACTTCAATGAATGTTTTAAAACCTAACTCGGGATGAAACCCAACAAGTGTCCGGGTCTTGGGTTGACCGGTTTTGTCCAAAGGTTTGAAATCTAACAAAAGTGCCTCTAAAAATTACATGTAAGTCCTAATAAGTTTAAAATTTTGTAAAAACACTTCAAACACCACCATTGACGTTAGTAAATAATGCCTGTTTTTGGCAACAAGAACACTCTCCTCATCCTCGTAACGAAAACCCATCTCACCCCTTCCCACGTTAGCCTCCCCAATCATCGATAATAGCTAACATTTTCTGTCGACATTGCTGTGCAATAATCAATTCACTCACTAAAAATGGACGTCGTTGTCACCATTACACTCACCGACCATTTCTCTTTAAAAGCTCTAACATTTCAGCCTCCAATTATTTACGAATTAATGTTGTAATTTTTAAGGTTTTCAATGAATAGAAAAATTTATAACCCAACCCAGTTAAGGCTCCAAGTCCCAGTTGAATCGGTTGAGCCAAGTTTTAAAACACTGATTTCAATTTCAATTCTTGAGTGATATTATTATTAGGTCATGCAAAACATCGAGTACTTACTATTAGACATTTAAAAGAAGGATGCATAATACAATTTATTGTCGGAGACACAATTTACAAAAGTAACAATACATGTATATAATGTGCTGAGTTAAAACATTACATTAAATTTTGCCGTTGTATTGTAACAAATGGGAACTACAAAGTAATGAACATATATGGCTTCCTCACAGTCAAACAAGAACTACAAATTTGCTTAATATACTTATCTCAGTTTCAAGTATTCAACTACGGATAATTCTCCCATAACATTAAATTTTAATTTTCCTACCAACTTTAATTTTTAGCGATAAAAGTAAATCTAACTATGTATGCTGAATTTGATTAAAAAATTATATAAAGTCAAAAGTCCACCCAAAAATGAAAAGAATGATAAGTTTGACAAACTCCCTAAAGAAGACTGTCCAGTTGTGCTTGAAGATCTGGTATAGACACCATATCAATGAGACTTTGTTCTTCAGGGGAGTACTCTTCTTTCAGCAATTTCTGCACTTGAATATGGGCTTCCACAATGTTTGTCCTGCATAAATGTATATATTCAGTGTTGATTGCACTGTCAAATAATGACTAGATAATACACTTCATAAACTCTACTCAATGCACAAGCACATTATGCATCATCAAAAGGACCTTATGGACCAAATTTTTCATAATGGACAGGTGACACTAATACTAACTCCTGATGATGAAGGTAAGTTTTGAATATTATCACAAGTTCCAACTATTTCACTGGAAGATTACTGCAACAAAGCAATTAAGTTGGGCTAATTCTAAAATTTATGTGGCCTACTGTTTCAGATGACCCGGTAGTTAATTTCTCAGTCATTGGCAAATGTATCCTCTGATGACTACAAAAATATCAATTCTATTAAAACACTTACTTCACTGGTTTGAAAAGTATTGTTCGTGTTGATGGATTCTGCAGATAAAGTTTCATCTTTGCCATCACTGGTGGCAACTCTTGCTGAATTGCAGCATTTACCTGTTTCAGAAATAAAAAGCATTTTATTATATTTTCACGCTTTTGATTCTCCATATATAACTAAATAAAGTAAATCTCCAAGTTAATGCACATATCAGCCCAAAAAAGATGACCCCATATCAAGCACGTGATGCTATCCTTCAATATCAACATTTTCATGAACATGATGGTTGAAAAAGAACCTAAAACAAAACTTTATCTTTCTTCGTAACAGTCTCCATTCAATTGGTTGCATAAATATTTCTTAATAGGTCGATCACGCAACAAGTTACAGGAGGGACAAACACATTGAACCTATGGTCTGAATTAAAGAAAAAAAACAACTGTTTTTCCTGTTAAAAAACCCTCAAAAGTTTTATGATGCTTCTGAATCCAAAGGTGCAGAAGCAAAATGCAGCGAGACTACCTCAATGACTTTTCCTTAAAGCAGTAGTAGTTATATATAGGAAAAGCTTCAGTGGTCAACAAAGCAGTCTGTGGAAAGACAGCTTCACTCCCCATCCAAAGGCTAATACTCTTAATGAGGCTCTTCTCCAACCTCAGTTTTTAAGGTGGAACATGCTGACGACCTTCCATGTAGGGTATTAAACAAAATCTGGGTCATTTGGGCATTCGGAATTTCTAAAGCCTCAGTCTCAGAATTAGATATTCTTGTTGCTAAAAACCATGTGTTAAATTTCTTCATCCACACTTTTATTGACATAAAGCTTTATTATTTTTATGATAGGAAATAAAAAGTATTTCTATTCAGGGATACAAAAGAAGGTTGTTCCTTACCCATTCAAGGAATCCAGATTCAATTAAATATTTATTATAGATTGAATGGTATGCTTATTTTGTCTTCATTCAAAATTGAAAACTCAATTGCCTTGTACTCTCTAAAATACACCAGCAAACAATTCAAGTAATCACAAAGACATACCTTCTGAACAAGTTCAGCCACCTTATCTGGAGTAGCAAAAGCTTGATCCTTAAGTGGTTTTGCCATAAGCAAGTCTACTTTTTTATTCTGACCACCAGAGGAAGCAACTTTTACAGCCGTCACCTAAAGAAGCAACAGAATTGTAACAACTGTTTACAATTTGAAGAAATTTAGTTACTACAGCAGAAAAAAAAATCTACTTTATAATTTTAATATGCATACAAATGTATGGAATTTGGTAGATTACTTCCAGTTCCAGTTAATCAAGTAATGGATTTAATATTTTTCATATCATAATGATCCTCAGAAGTTGATTAAGGAAGTGAGAAGATAGAAGCCCTGCCACCATATTATCAGAAATTGACTATTTTCTGGTATCTTCTGCATATAAAGGTAAAAGGAAATAACATTTATCATGTCCATATAACCAGTAACTTCTTAAAGGTCTCCACATTTAGATCAAGGGATCTGAACTCTTATTTAGTTGCACCCGCTCTTTCTCCACATAATGTCTAAAAATAGTAAGTTCTCTAAATTTATAATTCAGAGGATAAAGACAAACCTTGGTGACAAATGAAAGCATGGGATCCACTACTAGCTTAGTAACTACCATAATGAACTCCTCACAAGTAGCTTTTAGGCTTTTCTCCAATTCCTGAAATTATGTTATGATAACAAGGCAAATTAAATTTAAGTAAATAAATAATCAGCAAGAAACAGATAAAAAAATTGTTATGTCTTAACATATCAGCATCACCAGAAGTTGAATAAAATTACCAACCAACTACTGCCAAAATCAAAATTTTCACTTCGATGGTGCACATGGCACCTTCATAGGAAAGATGAATGTAAATTCGGCTCATTTGTGGAAGAATTAATGTTTGTTATTGAAAATAAAACCCCAAAACTGATTGATAGCAGGGGAAGAAGCATCAAAACTATTCCTAGGTTTCACCAACCAATTCTTTGAAAACTACTGGAGGGAAAAATAGATATTGTGAACAATGAAAATAATGTTTTTAATGTCCGTAAATTATAATGCAAAAGAATGCATGATACAAGATAGAGGAGCGTGTTGGGATCTTATATTCCAAAGTAGCTTCAGGACAACATTGATCATAACTCTCATACATCATTTGTGAGTTGAATTCTTTCACTTATTCATGCATATAATCATCTGCAGAAAACTGTATGATCTTTCACTACTCAAACACAGACATGGCATAGTGATCCAGAATTCTTCCAGCAGTAAATGCAGCCAAAATGAGAGCAACAATACAGCAAAATAAATTCATTTGAAATATATTCACCTTCTTGGCATCTATTTGACTTTCCAAAACACGAGGAGATAAGGTCCTTGCCAATGAAGTTGATCTAGACCAGTCAAACAGCGAGGCTTGACCTCTAAGTATCCTTCTCAGGTGCTCCTGCCCATAGCATTTTGGATACAAATGAGACAATAATTCTATCACAAAGACATATAGACTACTTCATCTTTCAGAATAATATACACATAATTAATAAAAAATATGGAAACATGGACTAGCTAACACTGACTGAACAACATGAGTTTTTTTTAATATATGATCTTTTTCATTTTTCACCTTTTAGCTTTTACTCTTAAGGTCATCTATAAACCCAAAACAAATGAGCATGTGATTGTACCTTCAAAATCCCAAAATATCGAAAAAATATGATGCTGTCGGCCAAATAATGCATTCAAATCAGGCAGTATTTTAGTTCCAGAGAAACTAACCAGCAAATGCGAGAAATCAAGTTCCTTGTGCGTGACAGAAAATTCTATATCAAATGGAGCAATCTGGAAGGCCAAAACTTAGGAGTCAAGAAATCATATTGCATCACTCAATAAAATAACAACTAAAGAGAGAAAAGAGAGAAATTAAGGGAATTAACCTGTTCCCTTAAGATTAGAAGATGCTTGATAAGGAAAAGCTGCCCATCCATAGGTGTTGATCTCTTTGCAACAAGCTTGCTAGCTTTCTGCAGCAATTTTTTTTTTTTAAGGGTGAGCACCAACTAATACAAATCTGTGCATACAAAAAAATATAGTATTTTACATATATGCTTGCAACATGCTGGAATTAGACCTATAAAGGGATTCAACCTGTTAAGGCAACTTACCAGGTACCAGGTTATCCATAATAATGGATAACACTGCCTTCTGGGAAATCAAATCCAACTTGTTAAAAAGGATAGAACCATGATCCCATATAAAATTGTACATATCAAACAAATTTTCAATCACTGCCTAATACATTTTTCACAATATTTATGTAGCTTACCTGTATTGAATCAGAGCAAACTTCCACTGCTTCCTGAAAATTTTGATAAAAAAAATCCTTCATTCAACAAAATAAGAAATGGGCAATATTTTATTTTACAAAATTAAAAGACAAGAATTTTCAGCAAAACTCCTAAGAAACAAGCACCTGCGCCAGACCAGTGAAGACTTCTGGTTCTAAAGATTGATACAACTTTGAAAGGCAGGATATAGTTTTCTCTAGTGGTGGGTACCAAGTTTTGAACACATCCGGATTTCCATCAGCCTGCAAGTTGAGAACACATTGAGATACAGAATAAAAAATAAAAAAGACACGTTTATAATTTTGAAAACAAAATAAATGGCATTAGCCAGCAGCAGCCATAGATGTAGAACTAATATTAGCCTACCCACTTAGACCACATTATTGGCGGAAAAACCTACTTTACATGGATACCGTGGAACATGTTAAACACGTCCTTTACACTAGGATCATGTCAAGATAGGTATGAAATGTGTCATAGTTAACAAAAGAATTCATGGTTCACTAAATAACAAATACAACAAATTCTAGTATTCAGTTTCTTTGCCACAGAATATTTTATTATGGGGATATACTAATATTGAGCAAGAAAAAATACATACATACTTGATATTTTTCTTTCCAAGGGCTAAAAAGAAAAGGACAAGGGCAATCAGATTATAGTAGTGTTCCCATGTCCTACGGTTTCAAGATAGGACAATTTATTAACACCTAGATGGAAATTAATATCTATACTTCTCACACTAGCACACGAGACAAAGGGTGCAACCGAGGAATTAAATCTCAGAAATCAAACAAAATTTGATAATATAGATGCAAAGAGCACTGAAACAAGAGAAACAATGACGAATGCAAGTATACAGACTACCTAGATGGAAATTAATATCTATACTTCTCACACTAGCACACGAGATAAAGGGTGCAACCGAGGAATTAAATCTCAGAAATCAAACAAAATTTGATAATATAGATGCAAAGAGCACTGAAACAAGAGAAACAATGACGAATGCAAGTATACAGACTACCTAGTCAAGCAATGTAAAAAACACATTCTTATTTATATGGAACAAAGTGAAGTAAGTGTAGGGCACTGTACAGAATTAGTTTCCGATTTTATCTCAGCAGATTGCTCCAGCTTTGCAGGGTAATTTAAGTCTTCATCTGCAGGAGTAAAATTAGCTATCTGCAAAAGAAATAAGAAGAACCTTCAAAATCAGACTTCTCTGATTTCCCTTATGAAAAAGGAGACAATAAATCCATCAACATTGAAGCTTCCAAATGAGATGCCTCATGCAAATGCAGCATGAAATGAATGTAGTTTTAAAAACAAAAGCTTTCAGTGAAAATATGTTCATGGTGCAATTCCAACATCTTGCACTAGTTCAACAAGGTAATAAAGTTGATAAAGAATTAAAAATTTCTCACAGCAATGCTATTTTAGACCATAAATCAAGGCTGTAGGAATTTCTAATTCAATCTCAAACATGGGTGACCTTGTTAAAGTTCTTTCCACTCCCAGTGATGATAAACTTATTATACTGCAAATGCTCAATTATGGAGACATTGTACTAAAAATCTAAAACTGCACTTAAACACACATGTCTGCAATTTCCATGCATATAAAACAGCAAAGAATGATATTCCTGGCAATAGATCATTCACAATGCATTTTATTTCTTCATTGCTAATGAAGTAAATTCCATCATCTCAAAAGGGCTCCTACTTCAACAAGGTACTGTGGAAGTCTAGAAGATAATGGCAATTACAGTTTGTGTGCATGATTTCTGATAAGGGAATGGACTGAATAACTTCAAAGGTCAGCCGTGTAAAAGAACTATGATTCGAAATGGAAAGGAACACCTGTAAAAATAGTAAATATAGGAAGGCATGAATGCTGTTGATACAACTTATAAAGACTAAAACACACCTCATCACGAATATGTGTTCGAGCACGGAAAGTCAATCGCTCATGAACATCTGCTAAGATTCTTTCTAATGTAGGACGCAGACCAGCCAATGACTCACTTCGTCTACTGAGCTGTTCTCCCAGGACTTCAACTTTAAGGATGTCAACAAGTTCACAAAGAAGGTCTACATTTGTTTCATGAATGAGCTTTGGGCGCAGTGTGTCATACAAGTAAGTAGACCTGCAAAAAAAATTAGCACTATTGTGTAAGCAGAACAGCTATATTCTCCTATTAGTAGCCAAAAATTCGACTGCCATATTAGCTCTGCGCCAGGCTCAGTTGGAAATTGGTCAAAACCTACTATCTTCAGTAGTTATGAAAGCCATGAGATTAATATCCCAAATAGGTGGCTCCCAGGGGATAAGCAGGACAGATATGTATGGTGTGAAAGACCAATGGAGATCCCTTTGAAACTCCAGCACAAAAAAGACAATCTGAGACTATGTATTTAGAAATAACAAAATCTTTTACGTGCACACAGGTCTTCCTATTTAAGAAGGTTTACGAATTTAAAATTTTACCTGTTAATAAAGGAAGGACTACACCATGGGATATGGTACTTTGGTAAAAGATTGGAGAAGTGAAGAAAAATTACAGAAAGAAAAAAAAGGAAACAACTTAAATGCCATAACCTTAAGCGACAGGAAGATCATCTTCCAAAAAGACATCCAATGAAAAGTATCCAATTGCTCAACCAAAAAGTACTTATTCTAGACTAAAAGAAATTCTTTGATTTGTTTCCAATCAGTTTATAATAAAGCAATAATATCATAACAAAGTGGTTGCATTAACCCTAAAAAGAGGACAGATGGAAAGGTTTAAAACAAGAAGTGACCCACAACATGAGGATAGAACTTACAAAGGATCAACCAATGGAGCCAAATTTGAACTATCCTCTGAAGAAGATGGGAAAAAGTGATCAAATAGTTGATGCTCCAGCTGACAGACCTGCAATTTATGGTAAAGTCAAAAGAACCATCCAGAAATTCTCTCTATCATCCAAAACTTTGTCATTCCCATAAGATGGATACTTCTGATTCATGTAAAGAATAAAGTATTCACATGATAGATCCAGACAAAATATCTAGACGCTCACACACACATCATTGGCATAAGGGGGAAAAAAAGAGACTCCTGTAGAACAATGCAGTTGAATTTTGAAGTGCAATATTTCCAAACTAGAGGAATGTTATAATAAAATGTTGCAGGATATGATAAGCTGTAATTTTTTTTTTCCATCCACTTTTTTAATCATGGCCCACTTATAACCTCAATGCACAACCTTCCAAAAGGTTTTGGTAAATTTGGTAAAATAAGGGAATCTTGAGGCCAACCTGAAAATGGGCACATTCAATTTAGTCAGCCTGTACCCATTCACATCAGTCCATTATTCAGTTTGTATTTTACAACTTTACTCAACAAAATTCTATTACACAAAAAAGTTGCACATTATGAATAAGCTTAATCCATAACAGACATTCATCTTACATTATATGACTTTTAACTACACAAATACAAGGGATCGCAATAAGTACTCAACATCAACTACAGAAATACAAGGCATCACCTATAAAATTTATGTGTAAATGCCCATCTCAGGCACTATCATATGCTTAAAGAATGAATAATTCAGAATTAAAAAAACGTAATTGTCAGTCAACATATGATCCAATAAACATCACCGAGACAGCAACAGTGTAGTGACTAGTTATGATTCCCTCTGCACTTAAACAAATAGAATGGGGGATGTCATGTATTTCAAAAATTAGGAAAAACAACCATGGGAAACTAATATTTTGGTATGTAGCACTATTTTCTATCTTAAAATATTGCACACCACTAAAAGCTAGAGGATCCTCATTAAGATAACTTGATTTGAAATCCCATAAGCACCTTTGTGGTAAACAAGAGTGACCATGGAATTAACCCATACAAATATATATACCCAGATAAATTCAACAGCCTAAATAACTTATGGCTCAAACACGCATTTGACATGTTGTTCAATAAACAAAGAGATCTTGGTTTGACAACCACCAACATGAACTAATTAATAAATACCTTTTGTAAATCAACATTACCTGCATTAGATATGCACATCCTGATCTAGTCAATGATGGCAAAGCCTCTTTCTTGGCAAATTCAGATATCCGCTGCTGGACTATACCTTTGACCTAGAAAGCATAGAACAGAGGAGCATATAATTAGAACTTATTAAGTTGGAGTAACAGAACAGAATTATGAACCAAGCATCTAACCAACAACCCACCAAGGAAAGCCTCTGTTCACAATACAATTTGTGGCATTCTGCGAGGATCTGAGCATACTCTTTTCTCGAAGATCTGCTTTCAATTTCCTCCAACACTGGCTTAAGCTGAAATTACTTAAATTTATTAATTACCTAAGCTGAAAGGAAAGCTAATTGTAACATAACATCATTCCCCCATATCTAAAATATTTTCTGTCAGAAAGATAACCAAAGTTCACCCAGTTTTCACATTCCACTCCACTTACTGTTGTAAAGGTAACCTATATTCATGTTCAGGCACAGGACAGCTTTCAAACCAAAATGGAAGAGACAGGACACTCTTACCTCACTTGCTGCTGCCTTGAAACGGACGTAGATCACAGAAGCCTCTACACCCTCAGAAACAGATGTTTTGCTACCAACACTGCTCCGGATTGCTGCTTGGACCTGACGAAGGCAATAATATGCTCAACATAGAGTATCGTAATAAATGCATGAAAACAAACTATTAACTTCCATAAGGGCAATTCACCTGAGATGAAGCACTTTTGAGAACAGAAAGTACATAAGAGCGGATTATGCCCAGGGCTCGAGACTGACAAAAAATGTAAATTCTCAGATCTTTTTTTTTACTCAAAAAAAATGTCAGAGATGGAAAAAAGTTTTGAAACCCCACTGCCACCCTAACCACCAACACCAAAACAAGAGATGCATAAATAATGAATTTGTGGTTTGTATTTATCTTATTGATCACTTCATAAATTACTTCGATAAATTATGTACCTGGAGTTGTCGAAATTTGAGCAAATAAACACTTGATTCTGCATATTGGGGATTACTCTCAACATACCTAAAATAATCATAACAACATTTAAAGTTTTCCAGTTTGCAGGTTTGCACAAAGCAATGCAAGAGAATATTAAATTCATCACTTACGATATGCACTCATCAAGACGTTTGAGCAGCGGGAGAAAGTTTCCATTTCCAGCATTCATGTTTGGAGAATAAAAATTGGTAGCAATCTGCACATGGATGTACAATTGGACGATTAATAAAAATTCACAGCCATTTATAGAAACAAGTATACATTTTTTCTCATATGTGTCATATGATATCTTAATATAAGTCGACATTCTCAAATTCCAATTGACAAAACATGTCATGCTTGGCCACCATACATACTTCTTTTCACAAAAATAAAAAATTCAATTAGAAAATAGAATTAATCAATAATAAATGAGGCAACATACGTGAACATAGTTGTTAAAATGTTCTATCATGTGCATATAACTTTCCTAATCACCATAACTTTAAACACAACTATATGGAAATTAATCATTTTTCTTTTTTTCGAGATCCAGAATTCCTCAACATTCCCTATGTGTTCACCAAGCTCTAATCTAAACTGGACGCTATTTCCAGACCCTACAAGTGAAACTTGCGGGATATAATATTCCCAAGAAGGTGGCCCCAGGGGATTTGAACTCTTGGCCCCTTGTTGAAACTAAGGACTTTTATTGTAACTAACAAGTTATACAGATTACAATTTGTTTGTAGATACATCAAATATATAAGTTTAAGAGGGAGTTATTGCTTCTAAAATACAGGACCTGGTGGATATTATAGATTTCTTCCATTTCAGTGATATTCTATATGGCTAGGGTTTCTGTATTTATAGTTGATTATAACTCACACTGACAGCATACCATTACACTTAATATGCACAACAGTACAACAATTGAGAGTAACTCATTGATATGCTATAAAGTTCCTTTGATAATTAATTCTGAAGTTCAAATCCTCCGTTCGACTTAAGATGTCAAGTACGCCATACAGTGTGGTATGTGAAAGGTCCAGGGATGATTTTTGATACTCCAAAGATATTACATAGCTGATATACGGAAAACCAGCAAACAGAACCCAAGTCTAATGGAAAGAAAATTAAGCATTAACAGTAAAGAAAGACACAACCCAACATTTGAAACAAATTGATCTCTAGGTAAGATAGCATTTTTTTTCATAAGAAACTATGAATCTAGGTAAGATAGCATTCAAACCTTACATTCTCCAATTCGTCAAAATACTTGAGCTTACTCCGAAGTGCTTCTGCAAACTCAATCAGTCTTTGTTTCTCTATTACCTGCAATGAATAAGAAAATGAGACAAACATATTAAATAATTTAGATGACTATTAATATTTGACATAGTGAGAAATAATTGATCTGCAGCAATACTTCATAAACCCATTTACATGCTTCAAAAATTAGGTTTCTTCCATGATTCAACTTGATCATGCTACTTCATAATTCTCATGACACAAAAGCAAACTGTAAAAGAACATTCAATAATCACTGAGAAAAGACATAAAATCACACCAATCGATCACATGCATCATGAAGAGTTTTTGTCTTTGTTGCTACTGCATGGTGCTGAAGCTGTAGTTCATTAAACAAATCAAGTGTCTGATCCACCTGCAAAAAAATGGTAAGATTACATTAAAATTAAATTAAAGAAAAAAAAATCTGCAACAGAATTTATAAACAAATATAGAAATTCACTGAGACATAAACAACATAAACATACTTGACCAAGAATATCATCACATGTTTGTATACGCTCCGTCAATGTGTTAACATAATGCCGGTATTTCTCCTCTGTCTAAGAAAATGATGCAATTAGGTGAAATAAGAACGCTTCTAGATATACTCCACAACCAAACAACACTAACCTCGGATTTCATAGCTAATTCAAGATCTGTAAACCACTTATAAAACTGCACAAAATAAACGTAAAAGAAAGAAACTATTTAGAATCACAATTAATCAAATTCTCAAAATCCAATAGTTTCAGTCACAATTTAGGAAATTATAAAATGTTATGATCACCTGATTCGTATTGACCAAAACAGCTTCGATAGTGTCAGAATCTCCAAACTTGTAGTCTTTGGTAGCCACGGATAAGCCATTGTCCTGGCCGTGGACATTCTCTTGAACCAAATTGAGAGGAAATGGACGCTCAGCGACAGCATGAGACAGAGTGAGTATAGCCGATTGCTGTTGGTCTGATAGAGGAGCATTCTGCAAAAGCAAAGAATAAAGCATTAATCGATGCGAAAGGGCGTCGAATTATGGTTCAATTGCAACGGATCTGATGCATTGTTAGGGGAGTAAAGCTAGATCTAAGAGACAAACCTGTTCCCAAGTAGAAGCGAAGTTGTAACCTTTGGAGACGGCTCCAGATTTTGGGAGACTTGGAGGAGTTGATTTGGTTGCCATTTTTTTAAATAAATTTTTATTGGTTTGATTAAGAGAGGGAGCTCGTTTACGTTCTCCGGTAAGTTAGCATTTGTTTGTAGGCTTGTAGCTTCTACTGTCCTTGAAGACTTGAATTGAACGAGAGGACAGGACAGCGATAACCTCCTCTGCAAGGACACGCAGGTAATTTAGAGAAAAAAAATGGCTCAAAAATCAAAATCCCTCGCCCTATTAAAAAAAAAAAAAAAAAAAAGGTTGGGTGAGAAGAATTTAGGAAAATGTTCACATTTACGATAAAAACATTTAACAGTATTTTATTTATAGTTGCCAAATTAATTCACTGATCTTGTTATCCTACAATTAAGAACATACTGTCAAATTGATTATCACATAAATTAAAATATGAATTTGGGATCTTAACTTTATATGTGTAACATTATTGATATATTGTATTTATAATAAAAAAGCATTTTAAAAATATTTATATAATTAAAATTTTGTATATCTTGACTTTAATATGGGCATAAAAATTATTCCACCATCAAGTTAACATATAAATTACTAATTAACATAATATTTATTTAACCCTTATCTATCCCAATAAATTATAAATAAACAATAGATTTGAGATACTACTTAGAATAAGTAGCATACTCATAAATAAATTATTTTAGTATACTTCACTATAATTACAAAATAAAAAACAAATAGATGATTTTATAATTCCAACCGTAAAACATCAGAAATATATATATATATATAATATGCTCATAATTTGTTTCTTAATTTATTTGAATCTTTCTATTTCATAAGTGGGTGTAGATGAATTGAAAAAAATTATATAGGGTAAAGAAAAACAAATAGAGAACATTCTCTCAAAAGCAGCCGAACACAGCCATAATTCTTCAGGACAGCTCTTCAGAAATTGGGCATATAATTGTACACAAAAATTACAAATTTGTGACATATTGAGTACTTGCAAATCCAGTGATACATACGAGAACATAAGAGATAGAAAAGGACCTCCCAGAATTTCTGGAATAGGAGCCGAAATGGTAAAAAATGTTCAGTCCTTGACATCAGTAACACCATCAGTAGAAATCTGAAATCGAGCTTCTGCTTCCGCCAAACAAGGAGAGCTTATTACTTTACAAATGCGCTCCTCGCCTCTTCCCTTCCGAAGAGCAAGCCTGTCATAAGTAGAGAATCAGTAAATTCTTAAAGAACCCTGCCTAGTCAAGAAGTCAAATTGTGATGAAAAAAATTAAACCTTGTCGTAGAAGCATGAGCCATGATGTTTCCACCAATAGGTTTAATTTGAGGTCCAGCAAAGATGGCAGAGCCATCCACTTGTGCAACTACTTGATTGGTAATCACAACAGCAACACCGAACTACAATCACAGACAATATAGAGGGTATCTTGATGAACAAGTACGTTATTTGCATGCTGCAACAAGCAATTATGTTTGCAATCTAAACCAATTAAAAGTATGATATACAGAGTATCTACCTCATCGGCTAACTTCTGAAGGCTCCTGAGAAACTTTGCAAGATGCATTTGCCGCGCCGACAGTTCTCCCCTTCCAGAGAAATCAGTCCTGTAGAGAGCAGTAGCACTGTCCACTATCATAAGAGCAAACCTACAGAATCCATTGATTAATTACTTTTAACCCAAAACAGTTATCCCAAACTCAACATATATCCAACAAGCTACATGTGTGCAGTTCATAAAATCTTTAAAAGTTGTACGTTGAGAAACTAAAAAACTAATCACGCTTTAGCGAATGAGGATTGGACTAAGCAGAACTCAATTACACATACTAAGATCTAGACTTGGAAGCGCTATGGAACTTTCACATACACTTTTGGGTGTTTCATATGCTATATTGTTTCTTGATTGTGGTCACTAATGACAATGTTAAAAGAAATGCTGCAACAACAAACGCAATTATACCTTGTTTCCACCATCATTGAGGCTGCCTCAAGCAAAAGCCGTGACTGATGATCAGTATTATATGCTCTAGCATAGGCCACATTTTCCAAGACATCAGCTCCATTCAATCCAAACCTGCAGCATTGAGCAACATTCACTGTTAATACCACACACTGAAGAGCAGTAATACATCTCAAGGTAGAAATGTAACACCTGTCAGCTATTTGTAAGAGTCTCTGTGGCCTGAATGTGCCCTCAGCATCTATGTACATAGCTTTTCCCTCACCACCTCCTTGATCCAATGGAAGCTGAAAAATCATAGTGCAGAGTGTTTCATAACTAAATTAGTCATTACGTAACAAACCAATGATAAGAACTGTGTCTCTTTGAATTCTTTTAAAGTTCCTCCAGTAAGTGATAAGAAAATAATTGTTTGACAGGTCTGCAAAGTGTCGGGAAGATCTTAGGAAACAAACTTAAAATCCCACTTAATAAAAATAAATTTCATGCATAGTGAGAAACCAAACCAGTAAGAAGCATTTTAGTGGCAAAGGCTCTTCCGTTTACTCCCCTGATATGGTTGATTTCTCTTTTAATTTTAGTCATAATAAAAAGTGTATAAACCTATTTCACATGGCAGTGATTTGATGTGTGTCTTAATGCCAAGCCAGTAAATGAAAAAGAAGAGCACTTACTTGGCATGTGACACATAATGTGTGACACAACTGAGTCTTTCCAGAGCGAAACTCACCGTATATCTCAGTGATAGATCCTGTATCAACTCCTCCTGCCAAAGAATAAACACGAGTGTTAGAACTTAGAAGACAGAAAATCACTAGACCGTTATAATACAAACTCTAATTCCAAAATCGGTAAATGAAATGCTCAGTTTCCAAGCATTGTTCAATGTTTAACTGGAACATTGAACATGACCTACCTTCCAAAATTTTATCAAGCTCCCTTGATCCAGATGTTATCTGAATTATCTCAAGCCTCTGCGCATGAAGTTGGCTAGCACTGGTGAAACCCAATGGCACAAGTTTAGAAGCTGCCAGGAAGCAAACACACCAACCATGAATTTCAAGCTGTTTCAGGAATGATGGTAAATACCATTGACAAAAATGAGAAGAAAACAAAAGATCTAGTGTGGAAAAGACGTGCCTGCCTCAATGATCTTGTCAACTTTTGCTTCACTGATTCCCTTAATTTGCAGAAGTTCTTTCCTAGGGGAATAAGCAACAGATTCAACCGTGCAAAGACCAGCATCCTTAAGCTTCTTTATGTCAAGGGCAGCAATGCCTGATGCCTTGAGTTCAACAGTAGAAAGACAAAAACTATTACTAAACATATCTCATAGTTAATAAAAAAGAAAATATTAAAAGGCGTATAAAAACAATCCTTAAATAAAACAGAATTTCATCTTAGTGTTTCAGATAGCTGAAAATGCATTCAAGACACAGATTTAAGCTGTTGCAGTACATTTTAGGCAATAAGAAAGATAATTTGTTACATTCCAAGCAACATCTGAACCCCCCAAAAAAAAAGTAGGGTACGGCAAAAAACTTGAACATGCAAAAATTTACAATCTTGTACGTGTGTGTGTGTAACATCCAAAAATGAGTTTAAGTAAAGAACACAGGATTGTAGACTCGAGCTTGGACAACATCCAAAAAAGAAAATGGCAAAATTAACACTAATGCAAAACTGATTTCATTTTTAGAATCTTGTGATTCATTGTACAAGAAGTCTAACAAAAAACCCTTCCAGTAAACAAGAGAAGTTACCAAATTGGCCAAGAAAACTAATAAAGATCACTTTTTAAAACAGAATGAAAAGAAACCCATCCAGGAAAAGTCCTTATGTCATCAACATTAGCTAAAATTCATTATGACAAAAATTCAAGAAAACCCTTTTGACAGTTTGAAAGATTTTAGACAAATAAATAAATAAAATACCATTTCAACAAACTGATCAAGAAATGTGATAAAGAACCCAAATTTAGCATGTTTACGCAGAACCCAGTAACGAAAAATCCTCATTTGTACTAAAAAATCAGATGAATTGAAGAAAACCATGGAGTTTTTTGAAGTACAAAACGTTGAAATATGTAGTTACCTGAAGTTGTTCGACAGGGAAAGGGCCATGCTGAATCTCTTCGACTTCCTCATTTTGTTGTTGTTGTTGATGTTGCGCTATTTTCTGATTCCTCTGCTGCTGCTCCATTATGCTTTCAGTTTCAGAAATCTTTGTTGAACCCTAGAGAAAGAGGCCAAGAATGATGGAGGGAAATGAAAGAGATGATGTTTTGAAAAGGTTGAGTGGGGCGCCAAAAGTATTGGGGAATGGCGAGAGAATGGCTTCGCGGAGAAGTTTCTCAAGACCTTAATGGGCCTTAGTTTGGGTTGAACTTGGCCCAATGAATTTTCTTTTGCACCAATTTTCTCTCTAACTCCCGTTACAAAATTTACCCACCTTCATTCCAAAAACTACGTGGGTGAATTGGACGTATCGGGTTGGCTCTTTACACTATGTGGGGGGTATTAAGTATAATTGGTGGGCAATTAGCAGCATTCTTTCTAGTGTAAGCCTAAGCCTCGAGCCCATAAGAATTATTCACATGCATTCAATTAATGTATTCAATAAAAATCTTTCATATTCCTCTTTTAATTTGAGATCTTCCACATTCCTCTTTTAATATTCTAAAGGTTGTGGTTTAAAGAGATATTAATGCACGCATTGGTATTCCAAAAGTTCAAATCAACCTTGCACGGTTCTTAGTCTCATCTCTAAAATTCATATTTCTTAACATTTCTTCTTCCTCCCTGAGTGAGTTTGTTGATTTGATTATGATTTTCTTCCAGAAAAAGTAAAACTGAGAATTGGGTAAGTTTTGAATTATTGTAATGTTACAAAATTTGGTCTTAGAATGTAGTCGATGACATGCAATCAGACCAAGAGCCATCTCCCAAGTGTTTGTTTATATGTGTTTATTTGCAGTTGAAATATCAATCTCTGACTCCACCTTTCACATATGGCTCCATGACTCTCTAAGGCCCATTTACGTCTCCTCCAGCTTCAAATTCGAACTAATTGTACTTGCAAGAATGGCTGGTCAATCTGATTCTCCCATCTCTCTGTTTTCTCCAGAAGAGGTTTTGATTTCTATATTAATTTAACTTATAAAAAAAAAAATTCAATGTTTTTTACTTGCAATCGGTGTTTGAATTGTTGATGACCAGGATTATTTTATGGCAGAAGATGAATTAATGGAGATTGTGCCTAACATGAGTATGTGTCCTCTCAATTCATCTGTGTATTTTCTGAATTTGCCTTTACGGAAAACGTTAACATCGCGCCTTTACTTGACAACATATTTGATTCAAAGAAGTGCGAGGCTCTTAAGCGATTTCTCGCTCATTGCTCAGGGCTTCGATGTCTCCAACTTCTTCCCTTAGGTTCCTACTTTTACTATCACTTTTAATTTCGTTTGATTTCTATTGATGCACGATTTTGACACCAACTAAAAGCACGCGTGAAATGTTGAGTTGCCCCTAAAAGACACACGTGAAAGGTTATTTAGAAAAATGAAAGTAAATACAGTGAGAAAAGAGTTTTAAAGTGGTTCGGATGCTAAGGAAGCAAACCCTACGTCCACTGATATTTTTATTTATGAGGGCGGTCAGGTCGCTTTATACGGCTGACTTTACACTGATGATACAAGGTATCGAAGATTGTCTTTTCTAAAGAGAGATGTTTTTTCTCAAGAGTAAAAATGTGCGAATCCATTTAATGAGAGAGGAACTCCCATTTTATAGTGGGATGTCTTGAGGCAATCATCACTGAATCTGCAAGTTGGTGAGATGATCCGTGCAAATCTTTTGTTTAGAGTAATTCACGTGATTTGCCGCAGGGGTTGGACATGCGGGATTACCACATCTCCTTGTTGGCCTGACGTGCACCCATTACTCTGACGGAAGGAAGCTGTGGGTGCCACCGTGATCACGCGAAGCAGCTGCGTCAAGATGGCAGTAGGCTCTTCCCGAAGCCTAACCTTGCGCACTTACCAAGGCACCACGTCAGCCTTAAGTTCCCATGCATAACAGAAGTCCCCTAGTTTTTAAGGTTCGAGAACCGAACCTTGAAAACTACAAGTCATGCCGCAATTGGATGATTCTCGGGGATTCTGGAAATTCCAAAAATTCTGGAAACCCTCGACCTGCCTGAAAGTAGGTCGAGATGGAACTTTTTCGAGAATGACCTCACATGTCCATTGTTTGTAGGGGACGAGCGACCTAGTTTCGTCAGACGTCACTTGTTGTCCATTTGCCATGGGTGCATTTAATGAAGCAATCCCTATGCTGACAGACGTGCCTTGTGCATGATAAGTGTCTGCCAGATGCATTAAATGCGTTGTACGCTGACACAGTACGCCTTATTAGGACATTAAATGTGCAGTATGTTGGAACGACGCCCTTTACCAGAGCATTAAATGTGGATTTGAAACGCAATTAATGCTCTGAGAAAGAGAGAATGTTCGTCGTTTGGGCTTCTCAATGGAAGGGATGAAGGTCTGACTTTATCCAGTCGTGACGCTCACTCTTCTCCGTTGATGCACGACACGTGGCTTTGATCAATGGTGAGAAACCTTTGCCGCCCAAACGTCGTTTCCATTATGAGAAACCCAAGCGCCGATTCATATGCTATAAAAACCTCGAGTCGTTCTCAGGCAATGTTACCAGAGCCTTTTTTCTCAGAGAGTAAAGGATTTGCGCAAACTTGGAATTTTTGTCTTTCAAACCAGCGTTTTCAAGCATTCGAAGTGGAAGTCATTCTCACGCTTCATACGGTAAGAGCTTCTCCCTGTTTCTGTTTCGTTATTTTTCATGGTTGAGTGGCGTCTGTCTTCCGATAGCCTATCGAAGATGAAATACTTAGGCCTAGTTTGAGCCATGAATGGCGGCTCAAATCATGCCGTTAGGGTTTCCTTTGGGATTTTGGGAGTTTGTTTTCTCCCACATCATCGTACGAAGGCTAAATGACCCTTCTGCTTGTCGCTTTTGCAGACCGGCAAGAGGGACCCCTCAATAACCAGATCCGAACAGGGAATTAGTTCGTCCCCACAGGATGCTCCAAACATCCCTATCGAGGTCTTCTCGGTGCTTACCGGGGAGGAGCTCAAGAGGGTAGTAAAGCAATACGCTATCGAGGTGGATGCTTTCTTAGACGTGGCGCACTCATCGCAATACCCATTAAGTGGTCTGGCCACGGTTTCCGAGGAGATCATCAAGGGTGGGGGATTGATCCCCTTCCACCCTTTTATAAGGTCGCTTTTAGACCACTTCCGGGTTGTGTCGATGTAGTTGACCCCAAACGCGTATGTCATTGCTATTGCAATGTATATCACGTGCCAAGAGAACGGACTGGGCGAGCTGACCGCGATGGACGTCGGCTGCTCTTATTATTTGAAGAAGAGTAAGGACAAGGATTCCTACTACTTGTCCAAGCGACCCACTATCACCGATGGGATACATAGCTATCTGAGTAACGCAGGTGCCTATGAAACGAAGTTTTTCTTCTTTCGTTATGATGGCCATTGCCGCTTCCAGGATCCGAGTAGGTCCCTTTTGTTCTTCTTCCCTTTTTTTTTTGAACCGTGCTTTTCTAATGACCTGGTTTCTTTCTGATAGTTAACAAGACGACCAACCTAGGGCTGCTCTTCGATAGATGTAGGATCATGCATTTCGGCTCCCTACCAGAGGATCAGCGTGACGTGAAGAAACTCGTGATGACCGTGAGCTTGCGGAAATACGGTTTGTAGTTCCACTGGTCAAAGGTGCGACGTTGGGCCCATCGACGCGACCTTCCGAGACTCCTCAGGCACAGCCGTCAGAGGACGTACCAACGTAAAAAACGAAGGCTTCCGAGCCGTCTCCTGCTCGGTCGAGGCTGAAGACAACGACCCAATGGAAGAAGAGGAAGCAGATTCAGGTCAAAGAATCAGAGACCGAGTCTGAGGGCGACCAATCAAAGAGGTCGCGGCCAGATGCGAGTAAGTCGGGCAAGGCGCCTATAGAAGACACAGCGGCTGCTGAGGCCGCGAAGAAGGGCACCCTAGTGTTGGACTCATTGGGGAACCTGTCGGAGTATCTGCAGCCGGTGGTATATGCCCTACTGGAATGCAGACTCTCGGAATCTTTTGAGCAGTTCGCGAGTTCTAGCGATGTAGACCTAATGTCCACGTCGGTCCAACACTTGAGTAAGGTGAGCGAACTATCCTCGGCGAGGACTTCACTTAGCTTCTTTTGATTAGCTAACTTTTTCTTTCTTTGCTCGCAGGCTCTTCTTTCCATGCGAATGTCCATGGAAAAGGTCCAACTGGGAGCCGCGAAGGGAGGTGTTGCTCTGAAGGAAGAGAACGCAGTGCTTAAGCGAAGCCTAGAAGCTATCGAAACAGAGAGAAACCTGTCTTCTGAGTCGACGAACAGGTATCTGAACGAAAGAGATGCGGCTCTTCGCACGGTGGACTTTCAGAAAGCGCAGCTTGAGAAGCAGGGAGAGGAAGTAAAAGAGCTACAAAGGACCATAGCTAGGCTCTCTAAGGAGGCCGGGAAGAAGGACCAGGAGCTCAAAGTGACCTCTCTGCAAGTCTTATGAACAAAGCAAAAGAGGGAGGCTTCCGAGAAGGAAAGGCAAGCTCTTGAAGTTAAACTTCAGGAAAGTCAGGAAAGAGTTGCCTCCTTGATGCAAGAGATGCAGGATTAGGCGGCGGAGGTCAAGGAGAAGGCTGTCGAATGGGCAATTGATTCTATTTATGCCCTGCGACCGAAGAACCCGCGACTTGACATGACCGACCTCCCAGAAGACTGGCAAGACACACTTATGTCCATGGCGCGGGAGGATGATGAAGCGGCGGCCTCCCGAGCAGAAGGTTCAGGACACACCGCGGACAAACCCTTAGCTGACAGGCCCTAGGACAAGGAGGTCGGCTCTAGGGGCCAGATTAGGTCTTGTAATCATGTCTTTTTGCCTGCTGTACCCCACAGTAATGAAATACATTTTTTGCCTTTACAATTTTCTGTTCGTTTTATTATACATGTATACTCCCTGATTGCTTACATCAATTGAAACAAGTGTGATGGCATAATACATTCACACGAACAAGATTACATGCGAACAAAATGATACTTTACAAGGAAATTATTTACAAAAATCGCAAGTTAATTTTACAAGGAAAATTGAGTTTGAAATTACTGATAGTATGGTCGAAGGTGCTCAGCATTCCAAGCTCGGG